GACATTTGAGGCTTAATACTACAGAAAAGCACTAAAGGTTTTTTTCAGTTAGAGGGTTTTCAGCTTGTTTTCATATAAAAATACAGCATGCAGTTGCATCAAACAATGGTATAAACATCATTCAATGTAAATAGTGATAATTGTAATTAATAATCGCAATTACAATTTCAAGGGAATAATCGACAATTGTGATTTTTGTCATAATCGTGCAGCCCTAATGGTTTGTGAAGTATATGTGGCAACACTTTATGATGAGGTTTCATTTGTTTATATTAGAAACCTATATTAGGTAACATATAATTAAAATAAAGTTAAATGCTTTGGAATGATTTTTCTTTATTAGTTCATGTTAATTCCTACATTCTGCTAAATGCATACATATAAATTATTTAATGGACCTGAGCTGACATGAAGAACAATGAACAGTTGTATTTTTATTAACTACTGTTATCATAGATTAATAAATACTGTAACAAATGTATTGCTAATTGTTAGCTAATGCTCGTTAACACATGAGCTAATGGTAACTATTGGGTTCTTATCGTGAAGTGTTGTCATAAATGTTATTGATTTTGTCATCATTTTGTTTGACATTCTGTAAATGTTGGAAGTCAAGAGCGGAGCTAAATAAATGTGTGTGTGTGTGTGTGTTGTAGAGTAAGGAGGTGATCCTCAGGTATCTGAGTATGGCCGGTCACACTTTAGGCACTAATGAGCTGAACGTCATCGGCTCCAACATCTGCGCACTGAACATCTCAACACTTCAGAGCATTACAGCAAGAGACCTGAGGCACGACACGCACACACACACACACACACACACACACTCACTCACTCAGGCACGCACGCACTCACAAGCACACACACACACACGCACACACACACTCACTCAGGCACGCACGCACTCACAAGCACACACACACACACGCACACACACACTCACTCAGGCACGCACGCACTCACAAGCACACACACACACACGCACACACACACTCACTCAGGCACGCACGCACTCACAAGCACACACACACACACGCACACACACACTCACTCAGGCACGCACGCACTCACAAGCACACACACACACACGCACACACACACTCACTCAGGCACGCACGCACTCACAAGCACACACACACACACGCACACACACACTCACTCAGGCACGCACGCACTCACAAGCACACACACACACACGCACACACACACTCACTCAGGCACGCACGCACTCACAAGCACACACACACACACGCACACACACACTCACTCAGGCACGCACGCACTCACAAGCACACACACACACACGCACACACACACTCACTCAGGCACGCACGCACTCACAAGCACACACACACACACGCACACACACACTCACTCAGGCACGCACGCACTCACAAGCACACACACACACACACACTCACTCACTCAGGCACGCACGCACTCACAAGCACACACACACACACACACTCACACACACACACACACACACACAGTCATTTACCAGCTCACTTCATTCATTCAGTCATTCAGTCATTCATGTCTCTCTCTCCTCGTGTGCAGCAATGCAGAAGTTCTGGATCTGTCCTCGTGTTCATATGAACAGAAATCAGTTCTGTACAGCACTGCCAACTCCTCGTTCAGAGCTCAACGCAGCAACGGCCCTATTTACTTCCATCTCATCAGCCCATACCTCGGTAAAACACACACACACATCTCATAGAGGGTTTATGCAGAAGTGATGAAAATGTGTGTGAAATCTAAAACTGCTAGAAAATCAAAGCCATAAAACTAAAGATGTTTCCCAAATTTGAAGTTGATATCTCAAAAATGAGCTTTCAATTGGATTTTGGTTGGGTGCAGTACCAAATTTTTCCACTAGGTTTCAGTGGTGAGCCATTTTAGGGCAAACTCATATCCCTATTTGAACTGAGCAATCTGAACCATACATTTCAGTTTTTACAAATAGTATGGCAGTATTTGATTTGAATTCAATTTTAAACAACATAAAGCACATGTGGATGTGCGTTATAGTTTGCATTCGAGACATGATGCATCATAAATTGAGAATCTGTCTTTCTTTATATATATATATATATATATATATATATATATACACATAGTGGATTTTTAGACACAAAACTAGAATGGATGTCGTGATTTGCACTGTTGCATGAAAACTAACCAAAGGATCTACTGAGGTTTGCATGATTTTCCATGTGCATCGCTTTTTTATAATAAAGGTCTGACCTCACCTTATGACTCTGATGTATGCATGTCACAAATGACTTATGCTAAGTCTACAGAAAATCAGTCAAAAACTATGAAAACTAAAGTCTTGGAGCTTACCGATGAGATATATTTTGTCACGCTTAGAAAGGATTACAATGCAAAACATGATTTATGGATCTCTCATACAGTCAGCTGTGCTCAACATGTTTCACTGTATTAGTGAGGACATTTTCACACATTTGTGTGTGTGTGTAGGTGGTGCTCCGGTTGAGGACGTGAGGGCTTTGGCCTCTTCTAACATCACTATGGACATCAGCACCTTCAGAAGCCTCAGCATACCTGTTGTGACGGTAACAAATGCTCTCTCACACACACACACACACACACACACACACATGTTCCTCTCAGTGTGGATGTGAGTGTGACTGTATGCCGCGTGTGTTTCAGGGTCTGAGCGTGTCTGATGTGCGCGCTCTCATGGGTTCAGCCGTGGCCGATCTGAAGGTGTTTGAGAAGGACTCTGTGGTTCAGGCCTGGATCGCCTCACAGCCGCAGTCTCAGTTAGACACACTGAACGTGGGTCTGCAAGGAGGCCGAGCCGATCCCAGCACATCCACACCTGTCACCGCCCAAAACAACAGCACCGCTAACGGCACCGGCACTGTCACCGGCACCGGCAAGCAGTCAACGGCTCCCGGCCAATCAGCTGCAGCAACAGTCACTGTACAAGGTGAAGCCACGCCCACTTTCTCTGATCCACTAAGATTCATTATTTACCAGATTAACCTCAGACCTGTGATGTGTCGATCAAACACTAATGATGGTGTGTGTGTTTCAGGATCTGCAACAGCTCTTCATCTCGGTCCAGGCCTGTGGCTCGTCGCGTCCTGCGTGTGGCTTCTGACCTTCACATGATACGATACCTGAGCCACCATGATCAAAAATCATCATCAGAAATCAGTCAGATTGACACAAGTGCTCCATTAGATCAATATCACTAATCAATAATGAAATATTAGAAATGAATGAGAGCAATATTAGATTAATTCATATCAGTACTTATTAGTTGATTTTTGTCTCCTGTGTCTTTATAATCATATTTTTTCTGAAGTTATTTTTTTATTTAATTTTTAATGATTGTGTAACAAATCTGTGAACTTATTTAAAACATTTCTAGTCTAATAAAAATATTTACACTCATCTGAAAAAATATGAAGGAAATCACATTTTGTTAAATTAATATGATACAATAGCAAATTGTTTTGTGACTTAGTAGTATATTTTAACATTCACTGTTACTGTAAAATTATTTTGTCTTCAATAAAATTAACATGCATCATATGATTCCTGATAATGTATGAGTGAATTATCAAAATACCCACGTTCATTCAGAGATCTGTGTGTGTGTGTGGGTGTGTGTGTGTGTGAGAGTGAGTGAGTGTGTGTGTGTGTTTGAGTAAGTGAGTGAGTGTGTGTGTGTGTGTGTGCGTGTGTGTGTGAGAGAGTGTTAGTGTGTGCGTGCGTGTGTGTGAGAGAGAGAGAGTGTGTGTGTGTGTGTGTGTGTGAGAGAGAGAGCGAGAGTGTGTGTTTGTGTGTGTGTATGTGAGAGTGAGTAAGTGTGAGAGTGAGTGAGTGTGTATGTGTGTGTCTGTGTGTGTGAGAGAGAGAGAGTGTGTGTGTGTGTGAGAGAGAGAGAATGAGTGTGTGTGAGAGTGAGTGTGAGTGTGTGTGTTTGTGTGTGAGTGTGGTTGTGTGTGTGTGTATGTGTGAGAGTGTTTGTGTGAGTGTGTGTGTGTGTGTGTGCGTGTGTGTGTGTGTGTGTGTGAGGGAGTGTGTGAGTGAGTGTGAGTGTGTGTTTGTGTGTGAGTGTGGTTGTGTGTGTATATGTGTGTGTGTGTGTGTACTGGTTTAACTATACTGATTTTGGACAAAATGTCCTCACTTATATTGTGAAATACTTTGTCAACCCACTAATGAGACATCTGACTGCTCCTCACTAGTTAAAAAGCTTATAAATCAGCCAGCAGATGAGTTTGATGTAAATCTAGTGCTGTGCACATGTTTGTGTGATGGGTAAGTTCAGGGGTATGGGTTGGTTAGCTGATAGAAAATATTATTAACCTGATAGAAAATCAAGTCTATGCAATTTCCTCACTAAGACAAACGTGTGTGTGTGTGTGTGAGAGAGAGAGAGAGAGAGAGAGAGAGAGTGTGTGTGTGTTTGTACCTACTTAAGTTAACCAAATTTTATGGACAACACTGTACACAGAAGTGAGATAAACCTGACAAAACCTCCTTTTGGGGACGTCCTCATTTGTCAAAACTATATATATATATATTTAATACACGAGTTTCACAATTTGAGTTGAATTACTGAAATAAATGAACTTTTCCACGACATTCTAATTCATTGAGATGCACCTGTATATGTTTATATTAGGGATGAAGCAACAAGAGTTAGCCCACGATTCGATACATACCTCGGTTTTTAACCACGGTTTTGGTTCGGTTCTGATTCACTGACCCATTCATAAAAAAACAGTTTCGTATGTAATTCCTGAATGAATCAGCCGTTTTGAACGAATCAGTTGAATAAATGACTCAACGACTCAGTGGCTTGCTGCCACCTACTGGTAATTGTAGTCTAATTTTTTAAAAGTGTCATTCTATTTTTTCTATCATTTCATATTTCTGTGTTCTAAATACTTAAAACATTAATCTCATAATATTATTTATGCCATTTGTAAGTGCAAATTATGTAATTCTCTTTAAAAAAAAATGAAGCCACTTTGCCATTTTAACTTTTCAACATAGCCTATTTTATTTGAAGTTTATGCCGTGTATTCTGATACATACATTAATTTCTCTGGGCTAAGCCCCGGATATCCAGTCACCCTACAACCGCCCCTGTGTCTACTTCAAATTTCTATTGAGAGAAGTATTATTTTTCCTATTTTTACCCAAAATAGGATGGATTGGTCATTAATGAGTGCTATAAGCACGTTTAATGTCTGCTTCATTCATGCTGGACTCCAGAGGACTCCTTTCATGCACCCAAACAGAACAGAACCACGAGCAAAGATTTGGAACGATTAAAATCTGGTACAATGTTTGTTTGGACAAACACAAAACTGAAAAACCGTGATTCACAGGCACGTATTGAACTGTGGATGCCGTACCAAACAGTTCAATATTATATTGAGAATTTTGGCATCCCTAATATATATTAATTTATATTTATATTTCTTTATTTTGTACAAATTGCAGAAAGTTTCCTGTTAGGATTAAGTTATAATGTTTATAGCTAGCTTTATATGTAATAGAAAATAATAAATATCTTAAATGCAGTGACTACAATTAACTAAATGAACTTCTTTGTTTTTATTATTATTATTATTTCCCCATGTGTGTGTAATAAGGGATAACAGATTCCAGGTTGAATACAGTTTTATACTGTGGTCTGTTTCTGCAGGAAATTCTTTTAAATCATCCATCAGTGAAAACAAAGATGAAATGCATTTACAGTAATGCACTTACAGTGGATGATTGTGATTATTATTATGATTGTGATTATTAGTTCCAGCGCAGAAACACTTAATGGGCCTTCGAGCATCTTAAAAAATGAAAGTAAAACCATTTGATTTGCATGATTCTGCAGAAATGCTGCTGAGTAAAGTCAGCAAACGCTTCAGCTCTTTCTGCTGTAGTGTTTCTGTAGAATCAGAAGAGGGAGCCGCATGTTCATACTCATATCAGAGCACGTTTACATTACAATGAATCATTTATTCAGAGCGACTTACAAACGAGGACAATACAATCAAGTGAACCAACAAGTGCTGTGACAATTCCCAGTTAGTCTAACACTGTATTTTTTTTAATAAATAGAAGAAAAAAAAATAGAATAGAGAGAGAATAGAAAGTGCTATTATTAATGAGTCAACTGTTGATAAAAAAGTTCTTTAGCCATTTCTTGAAAAGGCTGAATTATAATGAAGAAATGTGTGTTAAAGCACTTACTGATGGATTATTCAGAAGCAAAGTGTGCTTGGTCGGGAAAGTTGGTCAAATCATCCATTTAGATTTGGGAGATCTTCTGAGGTGATGAACGTCTTGTGTTACCAGCATACAGTAGTAATTCAGTAAAGAAAGAAAGGAAGAGAAATAAAAATTAAGAAGATCAAAATTCAGTTTATTTGACATCACCTTGAATGAGTGGTTCAGGCCACAGAAGTCCTCCTCGTTCTGCACGTGTCAGCTCAGTATTTCTGAGTATTTCCATCATCAGCCTCAGCTCAGCTCTGTCAAAGGAGACTCCTCACAGTAACTGTGTGTTTATTTTAGCATCTTCATCCCTGTTTCAGACACTCCTCTTCTCGTTCTGTTTTGTCCTTTCAGGCCGTCTGTGTGATTCCTCCTGAGAGTCTGCAGCATCTTCCTCTTTTTCTTCTGCGGTCTGTAAAGATCCTCAAGAACTCTCACAAGCTTATTTGATCAACCATGACTTATATAAAAATATGAGGTGAAGCACAGGCCAGATCCCTAAAATCATATTTTGCTGTGGGAATACAGAATGTTGAGCTGTACAGATCAGGAAACGCTGTGAGAAAATAACTCAAGCACTGGCCTGAAGCCATGAAAACACACCCTGAATGCGATATAAGACACTTGAGATGAAAGCTGCTGCCAGATGCGGAAATATCAATGGGACATTGCAGTCACATGGTTTTCAGTTGAAGGTGTATCTTCTCTAGTGACAATGACATCTACAGAGACGATGAGATGAGATTTTGACTCAATGGCAGGTTTTGTCTGGAAACCACATGTTATTTGCTTGACCAGGTTATCCTCAAATTTCAATATATATTTGAATTAAAATGATGCTGGTCACATGGTGTTGAATTAACAGCAGATTCAACTGCACTGACTGACTCTACAACAAAAGGGGTTTCTTTCTTTATCTGATGTTTTGTGTCCTGTTTGTGTAAGTAAATTCTTGAGTCTTTTCTGTTTAACTTTAAGACAGAAAGACACTGTTCACAACTCTCTCTAGTAGTAAACCTGCTATGTGCAGACAGTAATAGAGTCAGTTACTCTACAGCAGACTTTTGAGTAAAGCGCAATGCCAAACGAGTCTGTTTTACAGAACATGAAAGCATTGGCTTCATGCACACATGCCTTTCTTCAGCAGTGCAGACGACAGCTGGTTAAACTGGCCTGTGAGTGGTTAATAAATAAGACACAGGGTTTAGTGAAAAACTTCATCTTTCCTCATGTCCCATCAGATATTCTGCCAGGTTATTTCTCATTTCTTTCAAATCCAATTCCATTTTCTTTTCTGATTCAGAGGAATTTGTGAATGTCAATATGTACAGTATCTTGCTGCTAGTAAGATACAATATCTTTTTTCCCCTAATAAATACTGAAGTTGTGTTTTCTTGTTTAAAATTTTGAAGTCAGGGTAAAGTATTTCAAATTTTGGATAAAATGTGTTTCTAATGTGTAGATAGTTAGGGCAGCTGGTGAGGAAGTGTTGCTCTGTGATTACAGTATTTTTCAAATTCGTGATTTAGGAGAAGACCCCACACTTCACTGCCATATAATGCAATAGGTTCTATGACTGATTGGAATATTTTGAGACAGATTCTAATTGGTATTTCAATTTGGATAGATTTTTTGATGGCCCTTCTTGCTTTCTCTTTCAGTTCATTCACAGCCAAATTTAGCTTGCCAGTTGCATTTATCTTCAACCCGAGGTATGTGTAGTTTGTGCCATTTTCAATTTTGGTCAGACCAAGGGTGAAGTTATGTCTCTGTCCCTGAACTCTGGGTCTTTTCTGGAATGTTAGTACTTTAGTTTTGTTAGGATTAATCGTCAGGGCCCAGGTCTGACAGAACTTGTGCAGGATGTCTAGGCTCTGCTGTAGACCCTCTTCTGTTGGAGACAGCAGAACCAGATCATCTGCAAACAGCAAGAGCTTTATGTTGGAGTCATGCAGTGTGAGGCCAGGTGCTGCTGATTGTTGATGAGTTTCGCCAATTCATTAATG